CCCCCTCTCCCCCCTCCTCCGCTCCCCGCCACGACTCACCCCGGCGGGCCGGAGGACTCGGCTGCCGGAGGAGGGCCGACCCCCTTTCAGTCTCCCCAGCAGCGCGGCACAGATGACACCCTCTGAGCAGCCCCTCCTGGAGCCAGGCTGAGCGCCGCCAGGGCGACCTCCAGGGTGACCTCCAGGACACTCCAGGCCCGCGCCATGCACCCGCCGGGCCGCCCGCTGTGGGCCCTGTGCGCCGCCTGGGCGCTGCTCGCCCTCCCCGCTGCGGCGGCGGACCAGGGCCAGGTGAGTGTGGGATGAGGAGGAGGAGGATCGGCCAGAAAGTACACCCGTCGCCGTTCGCCATCGCGAAACGGCCCAGTTCGACCTTCAGATCATTCGAGCTCTTATGGCGCCTGTTGGGTAGGCAACATCTCGCCTGCAGCGCATGCGTGCACTGCGGGTTGGCCTACCGCGAGGTTCGCAGGCGGCGAGCTCGCGGTAGCCACTTTGCCGAATGAAGACGACAAAGACGGGCGTACTTTCTGGACGCGATTCCTCGATGCGCTTTGAAAGCCCGCGTGCCGCCACACTGCGGGTCGAGGGAGCGGCAGAAAAGCGAGCGAGCCCTCTGCCCTTTAGGTGTTCTCCGTGCCGCTGGACGCGACCGGCTCGTGCACGCTCTACTGGCGGCTGGACTACGAGCGCCAGGCCCTGCTCGTCGAGGTGCACGCCACGCTGCCGCCGCGGGCCTGGTTCGCGCTCGGCTTCTCCGACTACGGCGAGCCCGCCCCCGCCGACCACTGCGTGCTCTGGGAGGACTGGCGCGGCCGCGCGCAGCTGCACGACGCCTGGGCCGGCGAGGACGGGCGGCTGCGCGCGGACGCCGTCCAGGACTGCAAGGAGTTCCGACACACGCGCGTCGGCAACGTCACCAAGTTCGCCTTCCGACGCCTCTTCGACACTTGCGACCCGCACGACTACGTCATCGAGGTAAACGGGGCCGACAATGACGCCATCAGTGCTAATCCTGCTGATGTCTGGACAAAATTGTAGTTAATTCTCGCGTTGGATCAACAGTAGAGTTGCCGTATTACAAAAGAAAATTAAAAAACGCAAAATTTTTAAAACTTTGCAACATTGCAAAACTTAGGAAAGTTGAAAATTAATCGATAGTTA